CACAACCCCCGAACCTGTGGGGCGGAGTTACCTAATCTCGTCTTAATTGGCGAGATTTGTTGTAAAGTTTCAGTGTTGTGAGGTGGTTGTGAAATCGGTACCTTGGTCTGGAACAGTGAGTAAACAAGATAAGATTATTTTGCAAATATGAAATTTATTTATTTTTTAAATAAACTGTAAATATGACAAAGTAAGATATGCAGGAAGTTTATCTACTGTATTATGAAATAAGAAGTTCTTAATTGGACTGCGTCTGTTACATTTTAACTTGTTTTAAAAGTACTACGTCTGGGAAGTTTTTCTGTACGGTAGTATGAAGATGATTTCTCAACCCACGTGTGGCCCAAATACATGTTTTAATACTTTTCATTCTGTTTTTGATGAAAATTGTTAGCAGCGATCAGAAAACAAGATTTGTGATTTTTGTCAGTATTTGACAGTAACTGTTACTGTAAACAAGACATACAACATTAGGCTATGCAATTTTCTTCTCTGTGTGAGTCTTGCGTAATTTTCCCTCTTGATTCAGGGGCATTGATTTATGGATATCACATATTAAAACTTTTTATTATGTTAAATGATTGCATCGCCATTTACCAAGACACGCGCCGTTCCCCATGAATTGTGCAGTTTTGCGGAAACACGCAGACAGAAACCATTGTCTCTTTACATAGATTTCAGATGGATACCTGCTGTTACACGTGCAGTTTCATGTTACATGTCTTCAGAGAACCGAAATTAATTTCAGGTTTACCATTTTCTACCCAAATGTGCAATTTCTTGCTTGAGGTAAGTTGTATACCTAACACTTGTGTTGTGTATACAGGGTGTTTAAAAAAATAGATATATAATGCATGCAGATGAACGCGTAAGTGTATTTTTATTTCGAGGTTCATTCGCTGTCAGTACATTGAAATAAATTATATGTGTATTCAGTACTTTGATGACATGTTTGTGATATGAGCACTGTTTTATATTTTATCTTTGTTTCTATGTTATCCAATTTTATATGAAATGATGCAAATAATATTCGTATATGATACACATCTGTCACATTGCAATTAGATCTTATCGACATTTCAGAGGTGCTTTCTGCCATCACGTGAAGTAAGATTCAATGAAATATCATCAGATTGCACGCTACAACATCCCAGAAGTCAGCCATCTTCGGATTTGTGTGTGGTACTCATGTTGATACTTAAAAAGAAATTATATCATATGAAATTCATATCTC